CCAAGTTTCAGTGATGACCAACAATGTCATAGTTGTATTTATTTATTAGCACTTCCAGTTCTTCCTGCTTATTCCCCATACTTCTTGCATTTGTATATAGGCATCTAAGATACTGGTTTGATCTTTCCTCCCAGTTTTGTCCTGACTCTCCTTTCTCTCTGCCAATATAGCCCACACTCCCTCTTGTTTCCGACTCATCTCCCCGGTCTACATATTCCCCACTTACCTGTGGGCTTTGCTCACATGATCTCCATGAGGGGTTGCTTCGCCCAGTGCTGAGATATAGTCGTGTCTGGAGTGGGTTCCTATTGGCCATTATCTGCCAGTCACCGGGGATGGAAATTTCTTTAAAAAATTTGTCTTCTCCATGCCATCCATTCTCCTATTAAAGAAGCATTGCCCAGGGCGCCCCTCACCTGTGTGAATGGCTGGCAGGGGCTGCTGAAAACTTTCTATCCATTTATCAATTACTGATATGAAATCACAACAGGTTTTGCTTCCCTCCCCGTTTTCAAAACTGGAGGAACTTCAGGTTTTGGAGGAAAAACTTGCTGTGAATCCTTCTCAGAAGAAGGGGCAGAGGGAGTGAGGGAGGAGGAAAGGACTCTGGCCTCATCCCTCCTGAGCCATGTTTCTGGTCTCACTGAGACCAGTGTTACTCAAGAGACACTTCAAGGAAGAACATGAAGTAACTCCAGATTAACATGGGGGCAAATAAAATCAGGAGATGTCCCTGTGGGGAGGGGGTTTCAGTTGTTGCTAAATGGGGGGGAAGCTCTCTGTCTCTCTCTCTTCTCAGGATATTGGGGTTGAGCTTCTGGGTCAGATGCTGCTGCCTGCATTGTGATCTGGGAGCCCGGACTGAGCAGCTGCTGCTCCACCAGTGAGGTCTGGGCTTGGGAGTGACTTGGAGTGAAGCTTCCTCTGTGCCCAGGCAAGGAGAGGACTTTCTCCAGCTGTAATTAGCTCCATGGGCGAGCCCTAGGCTCTGCCCACACCAACATCTGAGCCAGATACTCCAGGTGATTGATAGAGACCTCAGGGAATGTGCTGGGATTGGACATGAAACTGACTCTCCTCACCCCACATCTCTCCTCCCCTTAGCAATTGCAGGAGCTGATCCAGCCATAGGAGAGTGAACACCCAGGAATGGTGTCAAGTATCAGAGGGTAGCCGTGTTAGTCTGGATCTGTAAAAAGTGACAAAGAGTCCTGTGGTACCTTATAGACTGACAATATGTCTCCAATACTTCTGTTAGTCTATAAGGTGCCACAGGACTCTTTGACCCAGGAATGGCTGTCTGTCCGCCAGAGGGTGAGGGACAGGAGATGGGAAACACAAGGAGAAGAGGGAGAGAAAGATTAATAGGGGCAGTGGGAGAAATAATTGGAGGGAGAGATTCCCAGATCTCTAACCTAGCCACACACACTTACTGCAGCATCCGTGGACAGATTCACTTTCCAGTGAACAAGGTGAGGTGCAGGGAGAGGAAAAGTCAATTCCTGACTCTCCCTATGCCCTGGGCTGTGGGAGAGTGCTGCCCTGGGGACAATGTCAGGGGGAATCCCCCCCCAAGTCACTCCTTTTGTTCTGCTCTTGTCTCGTATTTGGTTCCCAGACTTTGTCACTGGGAGGGTTTCAAAATGTCTCGGTTGTTTAGTGCTAGTGGAGTGGGTCGGGTCAGTGGAGTAATACAATGACCAAACATTTCCTCAGTATAGAATCGTAGAACTGTAGGGCTGGAATGAACAATGAGAGGTCATCTAGTCCACCTCCAACACTGAGGCGTTTGTCCAACCTGTCCTTAAAAATCTCCAATGATGGCGATTCCACAATATCCCTTGGTAACGTATTCCAGTACTGAACTAGCCTTCGTCACAACTGAGTCACGTGGCTGGCTCAGATTCAATTTGTGATCCACTATAACCCCCAGATCCTTTTGAGTAGTACTGCCCCCTAGCCAGTTAGTCTCCAGTTTGTAGTTGTGCATTGGATTTTCCTTCCCTAAAATGTAGTACTTTGCAGGGTGGATACACATCAATCTTTAAAAAAAAAAAACAAACAATCGGAATGTTTTGATTAAATGCTTTTTGAGGAAAAAGCCTATCTAAAGATAGATACCTTATAGCTCAAAGATCTCATCATGGAATAGGGATTATACATTCTAATTCTATAGTATGAGACAGTGTATTCATGTAATGTTTAAGAAAAGTTTTGTAAAATCCAATAGTTCATGGATTAGAGACCCAATCTTATAGGGTTCCAGGGGTATCGGTATTGATTATCGAAGTTAATCTTTCTATCTACCCAGTGGGGCTCAGTGCTCAGTCTAGAAGATACCATCAGAGATGGTTAGTTTTGCAATTCTCAAACTGTGGATTTGTACTCCAGAGATAACATGCTTGTTAACAGCAAAAATGTTTTAAAATAAATAATATATAGAGGTGAGAAATAACAGACCTCAACCTTATTGTCCCTCTGCAAATTTGTGTACACAGAGTCAATCCCCTACCTCTCTCTAAAAGTGCAAAGTTTCAAAAAGTTCAATGAATAGAAGATTGTTGGGGGCGGACTAGATCTGGACAAGGAGAAGAAGTCTGGAGATAAATGTGAGAAGGGAGGGACAGGCAGTAGAAACAAAAGTGAAACTGTTCGAGCAGCATACTCCAGAAGTCTTGAGGTCTTTCTGACTGTAGCCTTCATTGATTTGAGATCTACCATACCATTCTCTCACTAGAAGGAAAAACCTATAATGGCAGCAGGCCGTAAAAGAGACCCAGTTTGGGAACATTTCAATGAAGTTCCTTTACTTGTGGGTAAGACAGGCATGGGTGCAAAATGCAAACTGTGCAACAAAGAAATGCCCGAATGAAACATCGTGAGAAGTGTTACTTTTCAGGAGAAATCTGCGTTGAAGATACCATAGGATATTGGCTATCTTGAGAACCCCTTTGTGCACGGGCAGGGCGACCAGGGTGGGCGTAGAGGTGAAAAGGACATTGAAAAGGGTGTCCCCTCCTACTCCGCCATCTCCTGCACCTCCAGCCCCAAGTTCTCGGCCACGTGCCGAAGTAGCGCTTGATGCTCCCTAAAGTCATCCAGTGGGCTAGCCATTCGTCATTCCACCCTCTGTTTCAAGGCAGGACCTGGGGATTACAGTGGATGAGAAGCTGGATATGAATCAGCAGTGTGCCCTTGTTGCCAAGAAGGCTAATGGCATATTGGGCTGCATTAGTAGGAGCATTGCCAGCAGATCAAGGGAAGTAATTATTCCCCTTTATTTGGCACTGGTGAGGCCACATCTGGAGCATTGTGTCCAGTTTTGGGCCCCCCACTACAGAAAGAATATGGACAAATTGGAGAGAGTCCAGCGGAGGGCAACAAAAATTATTAGGGTGCTGGGGCACATGACTTACGAGGAGAGGCTGAGGGAACTGGGATTGTTTAGTCTGCAGAAGAGAAGAGTGAGGGGGGATTTGATAGCAGCCTTCAACTACCTGAAGGGGGGTTCCAAAGAGAATGGAGCTCGGCTGTTCTCGGTGGTGGCAGATGACAGAACAAGGAGCAATGGTCTCTAGTTGCAGTGAGGGAGGTCTAGGTTGGATATTAGGAAACACTATTTCACTACGAAGGTGGTGAAGCACTGGAATGGGTTACCTAGGGAAGTGGTGGAATCTCCATCCTTAGAGGTGTTTTTAAGGCCTGGCTTGACAAAGCCCTGGCTGGGATGATTTAGTTGGTGTTGGACTAGATGACCTCCTGAATTCTCTTCCAACCCTAAAAAAAGAAAAAGAAAAAAGTCTTTGCTGATTCCATGATGGTGTGCAGTTCTTGAAAGGTCTGGAGCACCTCTACCCTCATGTCTGGGACCTTGCCCCCCTCGGGACGTGACTCTTATGCTGTCAAGGCTCATGGGTCCCCACTTTGAACCCTTTGCTTCCTGCTTCCTCCTGCTTCTCTCCTGGAAGATCTCCTTCTTGGTCGCTATAACTTTGGCCCATAGGGTGTCCGACATCAGGACACTCACATCAGAGCCGCCTTATATGGTCTTCTATAAGTACAAAGTCCAGCTGCGTCTGCACCCGGCTTTTCTGCCCAAGCTAGTCTCTCAGTTTCATACTGGTCAAGACATATATTTACTGGTCTTTTGTCCAAAGCCTCATGGAATGGATGAGGAATGCAGGCTGCTTATCCTGGATATCAGAGGGCTGCTGGCCTTCTACATGGATAGAATGAAGCTGTTCTGAACATCAACGCAATTGTTCATTTCTATCACAGATGAAGGGTTGCCCAGTGTCTGCCTGGAGAATCTCATCATGGCCTGTATCCACTACTCTTATGAACTGGCGAAGGTGCCCCTGCCCACTAGCATGATGGGTCATTCCACTAGGGCGCCGGCATCATCATCAGCCTTCTTGGTGCAGGTGCCGATCCTAAAAATCTGTCTGGCTACAACCTGGTGAGATAATGCAATGTTTATTGGGGTTAGTTTCCAAGCAAGCATATTCCAAAGCCCTTCACACCAGTTGGTCTTATCTCTATATGCCGATAGAGTCTGTTCCCCAGTGTTCCCTTCCCAGCTCTGACGCTGCAGAGCGTTTACCCTGTAACCCTCTTCCCAACTCTGATGCCGCATAGCCTTGCCTGTGTCCCCGTTCCCCCCCTTAACAAACATGATTCCAATCTCCCTTCCCATTCCTGTTTGACCCCAGTTTATATAGCAATATTCTCAGCTATACCCTAACCAATCATTTTACTGAAATTTAACTAGCCAATCTTAGCATATTGTAACATAATTCCTTAACGAATTCTATCCCATTACCCTAATTAACTTACAGCTAGCAAACTTAATTATACAGCAGACAGAAACAATTAGAGAACCAGACAGATTAACAATAGAAAAAGGGGGGGGGAGCATAAAGATAAAACAATTCAGAAATGAGGGTTTCACAACCACAACCATTGATAAGTGATTTCTTGCCAGACAGGATGCTATCAGACTAAGTTTTCTTTTACATCTTCTAGGCTCTTTCCTTTCTCTGGAGCTGATAGGAACCCTAACCTATTACATCAAATACTCAAATTTATAAGAAAAGATATATCTATGCAAATAAGCAGATTAAACCTGAGGGCTACAACAGGATGCTATCAAACTAAGTTTTCTTTAACCATCTTAAGATCTGTTTCTTTATCTGGTGGTGATGGGCACTATCCGGTCAGGATCGTCTTCCTAACAGCCCAATAGCACCTTATTTCAGTGTGACTGGTTTGGGATGTGAGGACGTGACCGTTCGCTTCTCAGCTTATGGCTGCTCCTGCTGCTTAGCCAAAGGCCTTAGCCTAAGAACAAGGCCTCAGACTATCCTATGAGAGAAGGCCCAGACACAGGCAGACTGTGATTTTGATTCTTTGTTTTTATACCCCTGTAACTAAGTGATAAAATACATCTAAGTTCTTAAAGTATAGGTTTTATGGACAGGCCTGAATATCTCTATTCTAACAGTAGGTTCTACCCCTTCCCCCATTCTGTGTCTGCCTTGTCTATTTAGATTGTAAATTCTACAGGGCATGGGCCATCTACTATTTTGGGTTTGTACTTTGCCTAGCACAATGGGAACCCACTGTTGGTCCTTAGGCACTAAGGTAATTAATATGATTTACAATAATAACAACTCTCCTGCAACTTTGAGCCAAGGAAGCGGGTCTTGGGATGTGTGACAAAGTTCCTCCTCTATCTTGGTGGGTCCTGCGCTTTTCTTGCCTCAGACATTCACCATGTGGGTTGGGCAACAGCCCAGAGACCTTCCCCTCTGGAAGAACCCACAGTCCAGGTCAATTGGGAGGTTTGGGGGGAACCCGGGCCTGCCCTCTACTCCGGGTTCCAGCCCAGGGCCCTGTGGACTGCAGCTGTCTATAGTGCCTCCTGTAACAGCTGCATGACAGCTACAACTCCCTGGGCTACTTCCCCATGGCCTCCTCCAAACACCTTTCTTATTCTCACCACAGGACCTTACTCCTGGAATCTGATAACACTTGTGCTCCTCAGTCCTCCAGCAGCACACCCCCTCACTCCCAGCTCCTTGCACCTCTTGCTCCCAGCTCCTCACACTCACACCACAAACTGAAGTGAGCTCCTTTTTAAAACCCAGGTGCCCTGATTAGCCTGCCTTAATTGATTCTAGAAGCTTCTTCTTAATTGGCTCCAGGTGTCCTAATTAGCCTGCCTGCCTTAACTGGTTCTAGCAGGTTCCTGATTACTCTAGTACAGCCCCTGCTCTGGTCAGTCAGGGAACAGAAAACTACTCATCCAGTGACCAGTATATTTGCCCTCTACCAGACTCCTGTACCCCACTGGTCTGGGTCTGTCACAGATGTTACTGCTTAAAAATGAGCTGGGATTAAAACCATGGAATATTCTTTGTGACAAGTATCCCACAAATTCCACTGACCTCCCTTGTTTTCTTTGCCTGGAGTAGGGTTTCCAGTTTCCAAACCTAATGTGATCTCGCAGCTGGAACGAGGGGAAGAACCGTGGGTCCCAGACCTCCAGGGCTCTGAGAAAGAAGTGCTCCCGAGAACTGCCTGCACAAGTAGGGAATTGGTTAAACCAACTCAAAAACTATCCGTGAATACAGGAAACATTTGGGATGCCCTACAAAGACCTTGTGATCTCTCCAAGTTCAGAACTGTTCCCTGCAGATGTGGAATCACTAGGCAGAAGTCACTCATGGCTTCCCACCTATCCTGACTGACAACTGGCAGCAGGTCCCTCCCCATCTCGCTTTCCCCTGAGAGTTCTGGTAAAACGCAGACCCAGAACTGATCCCTTCCTCTCTCTCCTCTGGGGAAGGGTTTGGGGAAAATCAGCTCCTGATAGGTTTGATTTCTCCTGCACATATTTTGGTTTCTTCATCCCTTTTTCCATTCTTCTCTCTGAGATTTCCTTTCTCTCCGGTACAGGCAGTGACCTATGTCTGGATTCTCTCTGTCTCCCATCAGGTGTTGGGATGGTGGGTGAGAATGAGGAGGAGAAACCCCAGCAGGAAGATGCTGAGCAAGTAGAACCACATGGAACATTATCAGGAAGATCCAAAGGGAATGTTTCCGGGATTTGTGGACTCCCAGAAAAATCAAAAGCCTGTGAGACTCAGCAGAGGCCAGAGGAAAACTTCAGTAGCCACTCAGACCTTATTACACATGAGAGAATCAACTTGGAAGAGACACGCTACACATGCCATGAGTGTGGGAAAAGCTTCAATGGGAGCTCTCACCTTCTCAGACATCAGGGAATCCACAGAGGAGAGAGACCCTACACATGTTCTGAGTGCGGTAATAGTTTCAATCAGAACTATACCCTCATCAGACATTGGAGAATCCACACTGGAGAGAAACCCTACACGTGCTCTGAGTGTGGGAAAAGCTTCAATCAGAGCTCAAACCTTATCAGACATAGGAAAATCCACACAGGTGAGAAACCTTATGAATGCTCTGAGTGTGGGAAACACTTCATTCATAGTTCAGCCCTCATCTCACATCAGAAAATCCACACAGGAGAGACACCCTACATATGCTCTGAGTGTGGGAAAAGCTTCAATAATAGCTCTGACCTGATCACACATCGTAGAATCCACACAGGAGAGAAACCATACACGTGCTCTGAGTGCGGGAAAAGCTTCAATCAGAGCTCAATCCTTACTAGACATCAGAAAATTCACATGAGAGAGAACTGTAATAAATGCCTTGACTAGAGCTGGCCAAAGATTTTTCTTTAAAAAAAATCACATTTGCTGATTCCCACAGAGCGATCTTTGTACCATCTTCACTGTGGTCTCTCAGCTCCCCCAGATGAGTTGCCTGCTTCTGCCTTTTTCAGCTCAACCTCCTTTGGGGTCAGTCCTGTGATCTATTCTATCAATACCTTTCCGTTCGAGTCAAAGGAGTGTGTGTCCCTCCAGCCAGGAATGTTCATCAGCTCCAGGTGGGAGAGAGAGATTTGATCCCAACAAGCTACACTGAGGCAAAAATTACCTCTGCCTTACATCCACTAGGACTGTACATGGCGTTGGCTGCTCAAGTTAGTGATCTTGATGTAAAAAGACAATTATAGTTGTAGTGCAGATGCAGCCCAGATGTGTAAGAGGCTGATTCTGTGATAACTTTCAGTTTTACAATATGATTCAGGTTTTCTTCTAGTTCTCTCCCTGCCCCCTCCTACTGTATCAGAAATGGTGGCTAATCCTGAAATTAAAACCTCACTCCAAAGGAATTAGAGTGGGGGAATATGTGAGAGAAGTAGCATGTAAGAGAATAGAGACCCAGTACGAACTGTAATTATTTCTATTTCTGTTAAGAGAAAAATTACTTGAGACAAGATGTGTAACCTTTTACCCATCCCCTAAACTGCTGATGTGTTTTTGTTTGTTTGTTTAAACAGTCTCTCCTCCAGTGGTTGCTTTTTAATAAAAGAATAGTTTTGGTTTGAAAGCAATCTTCATTCCATTAATTGAAAGCAAACAGAGCCCTGCAAAGCAACAGGCAATTTTCTTGAGCCTTCATAGTGCATCGTCTGCACCAATAACAATCCCCTCCTAGCATTACAAGCACTGCACTGCTGTACAAAGCAACAAATATTAGTGGCTTTCAGCTTCAGATTACTGCCTCAAGGTATCCCTGATCCTTATGGCTCCGCGCTCCGCTCCTCTAACAGCCCTGGTCTCTGGCTGTTCAAATTCAGCCTCCAGGTGCTGAGCCTCAGTGGTCCAGCCCTGAGTGAAGCTTTCACCCTTCCTTTCACAAATAAATGGCCAAAGCACACTCAACAGTCATTCTGCACTTGCTCAGTCTGTTGTTGAACCGCTCCTTGCTGCTGTCAAGATGCCCCATGTCTGGCTTCATAAGCCACGGCACTAAGGGGTAGGCAGGGGGTCTCAGGATCACAATGGGCATTTTGACTTCCCCTACGGTGATCTTCTGGTCCAGGAAGAAAGTCTCTGCTTCCAGCTTCTTGAACAGGCCAGTGTTCTGAAAGATGCACCTTACCAGGCCAGCCTGCATTAATGTCTGTGAAATGCCCACGGTGATCCACAAGTGCCTGGAGAACCATAGAGATGTACCCTTCTGATTAATGTACGCTGTGACTAGGTGTCTGATGCCAGAATTGGAATATGTGTGCCATCTATCGCCCCTCCGCAGTTAGGGAAGCCCATTTGTGCAAAGCCATCCACGTCACACCCATTGCCCAGAGTCTGTCTTTCGGAGCAGCATGCAATTAATCGCCCTGCACACTTTTATCAACACATGTCCAATGGTCAACTTTCCCACCTCAAACTGATTAGTGACAGATTGGTAGCAGTCTGGAGTAGCCAGCTTCCACAGTGCAATTGCCACGCACTTCTCCAATAACCAGGCAGCTCTCATTCTCGTATCCTTGCGCTGCAGGGTTGGGGCGAGCTCATCACAGAGTCCCATGAATGTGGCTTTCCTCATCTGAAAGCCCTGCAGCCACTGCTCGTCATCCAAGATGTGCATGACGATGTGCTCCCACCACTCAGTGGTTGTTTCCCGAGCCCAAAAGTGGCGTTCTACTGTGGTCAGTACCTCCATGAATGTCACAAGCAATCTCCTGACATAGCTACTGCATGTGGTGAGATTAATGTCGAACTCCTCTGCTTTTGTAGTTTAGGGAATAACTCCACTGCCACTCGTGATGTGTTAATAAGAGCGAGCAGCATATTGGTCAACAGTGCGGGATCCATTCCTGCTGCCCGTACCACAAGTGTGAACACGCTATTGAGCAGGCAGCTGACAGTGTGAACACACAATAGCTCTCTGAGCGGCACTGTAAATCCCGGCACTGTAACTCTGCCAGTGTAGACATAGCCTCAGAGAGACTGACTGCCAGGATCCCAGGACTGATCCTCTGTGAGGAATGAAGCACAATGTTGACAGCGTATGCAGCCTTCACAAGTCTCCCTGTACCTGAAAAGCCTGCTAGCCCAATGTACTGGAGCATCTATGCCAGTACCTGGTTCCTAAACTGCAGCTACAGTTCCTACTCCAGGTGAATCCAAAGACCGAGAGGTGCAGAGATCCAACCCCTTATAATCTTAGAAATGTTTTGTTCCTTTTTCTATTTTTTTGTCCCTGTTTCTTTTTATGAACTTCGAGACCTCCCAGCCTTTCTATTAGATTGGGGTGTAACAGTGTGGCTCAGTGGGTGTGAGTGTGTGAACAACTCTGAAATCTACAAAGGGAAGATGCTAGGAAGAATAGTTCCCCAAATCTTAATAGCCTTTAAACTCTGCCCTATGAAATGACTGAATTCATGCTCCTCACCCCTCCTGCACCCCCAGCCCCTGTCCCAGCCAGAAGCCTGCACCCAGCACCCAAAAGCCCTCTCAGAACCTACACCCCTCACCCCCTCCTACACCCTACCGTTCCCAAACACCCTCCCAGAGCCTGCACCCCAGCCCAGAGTCTGCACCAAAATCTGTCCCAAAGCATATACCCCTCATCCCCTCCTGTACCCCCACCCCCGTCCGAGCCCAGAGCCTGCACCCAGCACCCAAACTCCATTGCAGAGCCTGCACCCCAGACCCCCTCCCCCACCCAAACTCCCTCCCAGAGCCCACCCTCTCACCCCTTCTGCACCCAAACTCCCTCCCAGTGCCTGCACCTTGCACCCCAATCTCCTGCCCTAGCCCAGGGTGTGCAACCCAGACCTCCTCCCCCCACCAAAGTCCCTCCCAGAGCCTTAGGTGGAGGTGGGGTTTGGGGGGGGCAGGCTCTGGGCACCACCAAAATTTCTACAAACCTGCCACCCCTGTTGTCTACTGCACTCCTTGGTTCTCTCCAGCTGCTCCCTCTCTAGAGACTTTTTTTCTATCCCATCTCTTCTCTTCTCTTCTCTTCTCTTCTCTTTCCGTGCTCCCCTTTGTTTTCTATGGGACCTGGCCCCATAGTCCTATGTTGTGCAATATCCTATTTAACTTTCCAAATCAGCTGGGGCCTGGAGAATATTCCCAGGTGGTTGTCCCCTACGTAGATTGCAGTGATCTCTGGTGTGTCCTCACAGGGAACCAGTTCAAAAAAGAGCCAAGAGCTGGTCCCAGTGCATCCCCCGTCTGCTGTGCGGAGAGAAAATTGCCTCCAGCCCAAGGCCCAGCTGCAAACCCCTGGCTGAATTACAGGCTGCCTTGGAAGCCCACTGCACAATGCTGTGTCCACAAATTCATATCCCAGCCACAGGTGTACTTCATATAATCTAAGTAAGAGACATGGGGAAGGAAGGAAACAGAGTTAAAACCTGTGATGCATATGGCCCCCCACATGCATTGGCCTCCCCTCAGGCAGGGAAAATAAAAACATAAGAACATAAGAACGGCCGTACAGGGTCAGACCAAAGGTCCATCTAGCCCAGTATCCTGTCTACTGACAGTGGCCAATGCCAGGTGCCCCAGAGGGA